CATATTCCTTAGGAGATAAGGATTACAACAATAAAGGGGATGATTATCCTAATCCTATAATGATTAGGATAACTACAACATATGGATAAATACAAGGGAGGATAGTGACTGATGCTTGGCCGCCTGGTATGGTACTGATGTGGTCTGGTCCATTTCCGGATATGTCCCAACCACCATCTTCATTTCTTAACAAAAACAATGTATTTTTATCTCGAAATTTCGTAAAAAATCCAAAATATAAATCTAATATTATATCCTCAGCTGTGGAAAGAGACTGCCGTAGTAAAAATACAATATTATATATTTCTATGAAAAAAGATAATTTTCCAAAAATATAAATAACTAAATGAGTAAAAAAAGTAACGTCGTGGAGGAGAAACGGCAAAAGAAAAAAAAAAAGATAAAAAGGAGTAACCGTCGTAAAATACCGTTCATTGGCTGATTCTTTACGTTTGACCTCTCTCGGCTCGTCTCTATTCATAAGTTCTGACCTGAGTTTGTTACCTAAATCCCCACTCGCCCTTTGACTGGCGTGAGCCCACTCTCTCTTACCCTGACACCTTCGTCCATCACACGCGCTGAGTTTGGGCGAGTGATGAAGCATATTTAAATAAGAATTAGTTTTTGTTTTCCTTTTTGATTTTTTTACGGAGTTAGTTTCTCCTAAAAATTTTCATTTTTATCCTCGACCCTTAAACCGTTTTAAGAAACAGATTATAAATCAAAGATCCATTTTTTGCTTATCTCCGCAAGTTTCATCTTTCTCTGTTTTCCATTGATATAACTAATCGTACGAGAGGAATCTCCAAGCTACAGCAAAAAAAAAAAAGAAACAGAAACTTGGTCAACGTTCTTTTGACCGGGAATTACGATAAAAGTACAAGGGTAAAAGAGTCATTGTAAACAATCGCATACGTATGTACGCAGGGAGAAGAGAGATACAACTCAACCACTTTGTATATTTATAAGCCAAAGAGATAAGCGAAATGAGATAGAGAGATAAGGGGACCATAAGCGTTAGACAGAGAGAGAGAGAGAGTTTTGTAATCCCTCAAACACACATAAAGAAGATTATGTTGCCCGCAAGGAGAAACAAGAGAGTTTTCTACTCCGCCGGTGCCGGAGACGGCGTCTTTACTCCGGCAAAGAAACGACGAAGATGTCTTTCTGCTATCTCTTCTCCTGCGTCGTCGGTATCTAAACCCGGACCTGATTTGTTAGATACAATCCCAGACGATCTTGTTATTTCCATCCTTCGTAGACTTGCTTCTACATCTCGATGTCCTGCTGATTTCATCAACGTTGTGATGACGTAAGCTTAAATCCTTAAAATTTTCATTTTCAGACAAAAGCTCTTTTGTCTGAATGATGAATAATTGGTTTTGTGTTTTAAACAGATGTAAGAGACTAAACAGTTTAGCCACGAGTTCTCTTGTTCTCTCGAGATTGTCTCGTAAAGCGATTGCCGTTAAGGCTCAGAATTGGTCGGAATCAGCTCACCGGTTTCTCAAACGCTGCGTCGACGCCGGAAGCCTCGAAGCTTGCTACACTCTCGGAATGGTAAATGTTTTAATTACTTTTAAGTTTTTAACTTTTTCTAATTTTATTTTATTTTAACTTTTTGTCTTTGTTTCTACTTTTGGTACAGATTCGTTTTTACTGTCTGCAAAACAGAGGAAACGGCGCGTCGCTTATGGCTAAAGCCGCGATTAGCTCCTACGCGCCAGCGTTATACTCTCTAGCCGTGATTCAGTTCAACGGAAGCGGCGGTTCCAAAAACGACAAAGATCTCCGAGCCGGTGTTGCTTTATGCGCGCGTGCTGCTTTCTTGGGACACGTCGACGCGCTACGTGAGCTCGGTCACTGTCTCCAAGACGGTTACGGCGTTCCGCAGAACGTCACCGAAGGTCGGAGATTCCTCGTTCAAGCCAACGCTCGTGAACTCGCCGCCGTTTTATCTTCCGGCACCGACGCACGGTCGTGGCTCGCTCTATCGCAGCCGCAAGTCCGTGGCTGTCCGTTGCTGAGTGATTTCGGATGTAATGTCCCGGCGCCGGAGATACATCCGGCGAACCGGTTTTTAGCGGATTGGTTCGCCGTGCGCGGCGGAGAAGCTCCCGGAGATGGGTTGAGGTTGTGTTCTCACGGCGGATGTGGACGGCCGGAGACGAGGAAACATGAGTTCCGGAGATGTTCTGTCTGTGGCGTTGTGAATTACTGTTCACGTGCTTGTCAGGCGCTTGATTGGAAGCTCCGGCATAAGATGGATTGTGCTCCGGTGGAACAAGATGGAGGCGGTGGTGACGGAGAGGTTAACGAGGGAAACGTTAACGGTGATGAAAACGTATTGGTGCCCATGAGTTAACGGCGAGAGGTAACGGCTGGTTTTAATTTAGACGCGCGGAGAATGAGGTAAACGAAGCTTTTGTTTTAGTTTCGTTTTTTGTTTAATTAGTTGGGGAAGATTAGTATTAAAATATTACCAACGGTTAGATGTGGCGTTAAAAGAGTAAATTTTGTATTCTAATCGATTGTAAAGATGGAAGAGTATTAATGAACGGCTACGATGAATCCTTTTCTTGTTAGCTTTTAACTTAGTTATACTTTTCTTCTTTTATACTCCCAGATTTTAATATAAGTGTCACTCTACAGCTATGCACACGGATTAAGGAAACAATTAATTTTACACATTTCCTATATAAAAACACAATTACTCACACACCTAACCATATTTTAACCAATAGAAAAACAAATTACATAATAAAATTAATAAATTTTGCATTGAAAACCGAAAACGACACCTATTTTGTAACACAAAAAATTCTCTACAACGACACTTAATATAAAACGGAGGGAGTATATCTTTGTGTACGTTATGTCGTAAGGAGTTTACTTTTCTTCTTTCCTTTGTCAGTGAATTTCTCTCTCACGTTCAATCGTTGAAGAAAGAGCTTTCCTAATCTATGCAGTGAAAGTAAATAAGAAAATAATTACAAGGAATTAAAGAAAACATGCAGGATCATTCCACAAACGGTCTCTATTAAAAAACGATATGGATGCTAGAGATCATTCTATTAACATGCGAACATGGATACATGAGCGCGAAGATCTGGAAAGATAAGGTCTATCCCCAAGGGTGACATTTGAATAATCTTGATCCCCATCAGCATCTTTTATTTTGTCATGCATTTCCAACGGTTGTTGCTATTCTTTACAACATAATCTGGTATGTCGTGGTTAGGTCTCGGTTTATCAGACATCAATCGGTTGGTCTGGACCTAATAAGACTCTGTAGCGATGCAAACTCTATATACCAAATATCCACGGATTTTGCCTTAATTTTACCCTCATGTTCATATATTCTGTCTTCACTGAAGATGTGAGCTCCATAATGTGTCATGAATCAGTGTTTCAGAGCGGTCATAAAACAAACAACATTTTTAGATTTTTGATCAAATTTCATTATCTTGTCATACTTAACGTTGCTTTGTTTCACAAGGCATCGTTGTAACGAGATTTTCGCGTGTTTCTGCTTTTGGTTTTGCATCAGATTTGTTTTTATTAACACCCTATAAGATTCGTGACCTAGTGTTCAAACCTGAGACTGATTGTTCTGTTCAAGTCAGTTTGTGATCCAATCCTTAATCCTGTTTCCGGGTTGATATGTTAAATCTTTTTAAAGAAGGATATAGAAATGTTTTCAGAAAATTGTGGAGTGTAGTTTCAACTTGTCACGTCCCACAAAACTTGTTTCACATGAATCAGCATAAATAAACGTACAAATAATAACATTTTAGAACTGCCAAGAGATGTCCAAATAAGCACACATGCATATGTCCCGCTCAAATTTGAGCAAAGCGGCATGAATATAGCAAATTCTGAAAACAAAAAATAGAAAACGTTTGAATGATAATAACTATGCCGTAAGTCAAACTAAACGTATAAACACGTATAATTGCGAAAATATTGTGAAAAAGGTAATGAGAGATGAAACTATACTCCATCTTTATCATGAAAGGGTATACTCCCGTACAATGGATATGCCTTCCAAGACTGTTGTATCTCGATCTCGTGATCGTTTTTTATAGTGATGATTCGTCGCAAATATTTATCAAAAACTGTCGTCAAATCTAAAACAATTATGGGTCAAAAGAAGTTTCATTATAGATTCCTAATGATTTGCTTGGAAGTATCACAATGATACTGTTTATGTAGCTTAGGTATCTTAAGACCAAAGTTAATGTATGGTTTCCTTAAGAGATTCTATCAATCATAGTATGTCTATATATATCTCTTATATATTTATAGTACTAGATGATATCCGACAAAAAAAACTTATACCGTAAATTTTTTTGACAAAAAAAACTTATACGGTGAATATAACCTAGGATATTACCTAGTACTCACGGTATAAATTAATTTGTAATGTATTTGTAAGATTAAAACCTTTGTATTGCTACATGGTAAAATATATTTTTAAATATATCGAATTCTGTCACATTTCAAATAATTAGTGAAAGTGGTGTTGTATTGATCGCAATTGAACTACAAATTTTAATAGTCTATAGTAAAGTTTGTTGGTTTGACTGCGGATCGAGATCATGTGTGAAAACATTGTGTTTTAGCTAGTAATTAAGTAAAACTGAGTGTGAAGCGCTCCTAATTAACCCGAGTCCAAGACCATTTATATGGTTCATAAAAAGAGTGAAACGTTCTATTGCCATTTTTTTTTAATGAACTTGCGGATTCTATTTTGATAGTTGGCATTTGGACGTACGTAATAAACTTATACGATTATTATTAATGGGGGATACTTTGAGTCTTTGAGAGCACACCTAATTCAAGATTTTGAGCATACTAAATCCACACGACAATAATTATAGACACATGAACGTGTCTTGATAATTGAGATTTAGTTTTCAAGGTAAAAGTTGTAACTTAAAACTGAATATTGTAGATACTCATACCAGCAGGCAGAAGTTAATGATTAAAACTAGTGATTAGATTACAAAATTAAGGTTAATGGCTGACAAAGCATCATGGGGTCTGCGATTTAAATAGCTCTCTTTTTCTTCATTAATTTCGTGCCTTTTTCTTTCCTTTTCGTAATTAAATTAGGGTGACCGGGAAATCCTCATTGCAAATCAAATTGGGATTAACAGAAAGTTTAATGTCTGATTTAAATAAATGTGGACCCTCTTTGATACGTTATTGTCTCCACAACCAGAATATTGGCATAAACAAATCTTTGATTTATTGGCCCATCATCATTGGTTTATACTTTAAAGTTTCCGTTCAAAATCATTATTGCACATATTCTTATACCACTAAACTACCAAGAAACACACAATTTTTTTAGTTATGTACTAAAACATACTTTCATTCGTATACATATAGTCAAACCTTAAAGTTTGTAGTTCAGACGATCTGTTGACCATTAGAAGACATTTTTAGGAACTTTAATGATGAAGCTTATATCCTCAGATATGATCCTAGTGTGTATTGTCAAATAACATTAGAGAAAAAAGTAAATTAGGGAGGAACATAAGAGTGTATCAGTGGGGATAGAAGATGGATTTTTGAGGGAAGTGGGATAGTAAGAAAAACTTTAGACACCCACCCACACACAAAGAAAATTCATTCTAAAGTGTGCCAAATAAAATATTTTTTTAACGTGTAAAATCTAAAGTATTTGCTTATGCTAATATTGTGCAGCCAAAAAAAATGCTGCTAAAGTAAGAAAATAATTTAAGGAACCAGTATAGGAGTATGTTGTTTAACGAATACTAATTACAGATCTTTGGTATGAATGCCTTTCATAAACCTTGTTCGCTGATTAAAAAGTTGATGCCTCTAAATTTGAAGGGGATGTGGTTGATCAAACTCAATATATATTATACTCCCAAGAAGCGTAGATAAGAATTCAAGCTACTACACTAATGGATCTAACTGAAATGCTGTTCTTAAAATTGGCACCTAATTAATACCCAAGGCCGGCTCTGCTTGCTCACATCGTTTCTGTGACACAAATCATGAACGACATTAATCCACCCTTTAAATGGCCATGACGAACAAGGCTGGGTATCCAGCAACCCATCTCTAAATGAACTGCGGTAATAAGTTATGTGGTTAGTAAGTTAGTAACTAACACCCCAAGGTCCCCAACGCATTACTAATAATGCATAATACATTCTTAATTACTTTTCTTAAAATCTGTATACGTTCTTGTATGACAAATATCAGCTATATTCTGGAAGACATGGGACGAATATAAAGTTTTGAACCATTTGATCAAAAAAGGGTTTTGAACCGAAAAGCTTGCATTGGTTATCATGAATATGTATACTAATTTAGTTGGTAGAAATTTTCTCAAGCACCGGCCAAAGTTAACTCATTTAATTAGTAGCTTCTGTTGCAATCAATAAAAATTTCCCGTGGACCATTTCTGTTCTTGTACCTTCAAATGATAAATCAAAAAAAAAAAAATTAATATGTATCTTCATTTGAAATCTTAAACAATTAGAAAATAGTGTAAAGATGAGGGTGGTGGTGGTCGAAGAGGCTCAGCTCATATTGTATACCCGACTGGAACCTCCTTGAGAAATCAGAAAAATATCATTCATAAAGTTTATTATTCAATGTGAATTAAGAAGAAATCACCCATCCTCTTTGAAATTGACTATAAATTACAACTACTACTAAAGTTTAAAATGATAGTTCTTCAAAAGAAAATGATATTAACTTCGAGACAGAAATTTGAATGCCGAAAAAGTTTTTACAACAGAGTTAGACAGTTGAAATTTAGTCACTGTTTATGACGTTAGAGGCCTGTCCTCTGTCCTCTTCTACGAAAAAACCGAGATAATCATGATTGCTTCTAACTTTCATACATACTGTTACACAAGATGACAAGCTGATGAAAAAACTAATACCAAAACTCGGCAAGGAGTCAGATGAGACAACTCCTTCCATATAAAAAGAATATGGTGGTGAGTTTCTTTCTTCAGAAGAGATGGATGATCGAAATAGATACGAATCCAGTTAACCCGCCGATAAAGTCTTCAAAAAGTAGGAATATAAAGACCCAATAAACCACCCCCTGCCAAACTTTAGAAAACAATATCGTTTCCTTATATCTTTGGTGGGCTGGTGTGTTTGCTACAGATTCAACCTTCTTAAAGGGCCAAGCCCATGAAATTGAAGCTTTAGGTCCATTAAGTACTTGTACTTTTGACGGGAGATGGGGAGAGTCCTGTCAGTTCGGACTTTAGTTGAGAAACATGGGAAGCATTACAAGCAAGCACTTCCGGCCCTCAAAAAATACTTGAAAAATTCAGCATTTTTTTATAAAAAAATTATTATTATAATATATAAACGTTCTTATAAAAATAGCCAATTTTAAAAAAATTGCTTCTGGTATTTCCCATGTCAGAACCGATACTGGGTAACAAGAGTGGTTGGCTCCTCCATTTCCAGCTAGACAGATCAGAGATAAACCATCAACTCCTTATTGATCGTCCTCACACAATTAACTCTTTATACATCAGTCATTTTTTATAATATGTCCGATCAGTCAACATTAAAATCAGGTATGTTATAAATTAGATTGAAATTTATATGGAAATGTATATGCGTCGGTAGAAGTAGGGGTGGTGACGTGTGTGAACGTGAGAGAGAAAGAAATTCTTTAATACACTTCGTATGTTGATTTCACATCGGATACAAATCTATCTATAGGTTATCAAATCGTAATTAATTAACTTATAGCTACTCCTTAATTATTTATAAACCAGTGTCGGTAATTGAAGGGCGGTGAAATGTGAATAGTCATGATCGAAATGTAGCTAAACTTTAGTTTTAATTTTCTATCCATAACCATAAAATTACCGATCTTATTTTATCTAATTTTTAAAGATAAAATAAAAAATAGATGTAGATTTATTTTATAAACATTATTTTATATACTGAAGAAAAAAATATTGTTATAAAAATATTTTTTATTTTTATTGCACTTCACATTTAATTCTTACAGTTACATTTACTACAATTACATGAAAAAATTTTACAAACAAAATTTTATTGTAAAACTTTTACAGCTACAATTACATAAATCAAATTAGAAAAAACGTCATAACATTTAAGAAGGTCCTCTTAAATATACATAAAAATTACATTCGATATATCTAATTACACGTTATAAAGCATTCATGAATTGAATTTTAATTAAATTCGAGAAAAAAATTTAAGGCATCTATTAGAGATACTTTATATCTTAGTGAATGTTTTATTTAAAGAGAAAAGAATGTTTTATTTAAAGAGATTTGTATCTGAATAAGGCATCTATTAGAGATACTTTGACGTGACAAAGACTTTATTACTATTATTAAAGAGATTTGATTTTGTAGATACTTTCTAGATATATAAAAATGACATTTTAAATTATTTTTTTGTCACTGTGACATTTTTTATATGTTCTGCTAGTTTAATATATAAAATACACATACTAAATTTAGCATAACTGATGATTAAACTAGTTACTAATAACTAATCTTTCAAAGGCATTTTATATCCCGATCCCAACAGCGATTCACATGTTTGCATCCGTATGCACAAACAAACCAACTGGCCGCATATGTTTCCCCGAGACATTGGAAATACATTAAAATCTCACAAAAACAAAAACAAAATCATTTAAAATGACCAAATTTGAAGGAGAATTATGATATGATTAGACCGAAAAAAGAATTATAATATGACGCCGGGTGGTTACAATAACCACTAACTAAGACATTAATGTTAGATGAGGAAATAAAATGTACGTTGTGTTGATCTTTTTCATGTATATCACGTGTTATAAATCTAGATTAACCACTTTAAACCTCAACCGGAATGAGCTATTACAGAAAGAAATACAATATGTTTCGTAACTTGGTGATGTCAACAGATCATTATAATCGAAACACGCATATAATTCATTATAATATACTATAGATGAGGCGTCGATTGAGTTTATTACATCACGAGCTCTATATAAAGCACAGTTCTGGTTCAAACATCAAACAAGTTTAATTATCGGATTAACATACATTAAAACAAACAGAAACAAAAATAGTTCTACATTAAGGATCAAGTCAGTGTGTTCAGTTCAGTGTTTGTAGTGACAATTTCTACGATGGGAATGAAATGTGCGATCTTGGGCTTAGCTATGTGTCTCGTTCTCCTAAGCTTCTATGAGGTGTCTTGCCAGGTAAGTAGAATCACTAAGCATCTTTAGCTTTATTATACGTACCACGTAAAGTCACTTGCATGCACTTGAAATTCATTGTCAGGTCGAGCGAAGCATAGCTAAGTTAGATAGATCAACGGATCATCGTAATTTTCAAGGTATACTATTTTGTTAATATTTGTGTTCTTAGTGTTCTTTTGGCCTGGTTTAGTTTTAACACCTCAACACTAAGAAATGGAGTGTTTTTTTTTGTTGTTGAAGCTAATGTCCAAGAAAAGGAAGAAAAAAAAGAAGAGGATCAATGTAATTAATTAAAAGCTTTCATTCTATTCTTATTTGAGTTGGCCTCTCTTTTAATAAATCTATTTTCAGCTATAAAGAGGAAGAGTGAAAGTGAGAGCAGCTGGGAGAAGAACACTACGTCGACTGATAAGAAGAAAATATCTGTGTCTCTATTGGAGGAAAACCTGAAAGATTCTTTCCAAGTTAATAATACAATCCAGGTTAAATCAAGTTTTAACTAATGGGTCTTTCAAAGTAAAAAATAAATAATAAATTTACAACTTATTTGTTTTCTGGGGTCTAATCACTTGTTTGTGCACTCACTTTGGATCTGTAGTACGAAGCTACCAGTGCTCATGATGAAGTGGGTGAAAATTCGAGCATGATGGACGAAATAAACCGTGAAATTGAAGGTATAGTGTCAAAAATATGTTAACTAATAAACCTAGAGCCCATATGTTTGAAAAACAATAATTAGGTTTTTCTTTTCGGATTGTAGCCCATCTCAGTGGTCTGAATAAACAAGCTGGATCTGTTGCATTTGGTGAATCTAGTGATGCTGCTGATTTTGGTAAAAAAGATCGAACAAAAGAAACTTTCTATTATGGGTCTCCTACGTACGCATAGCTGTTTTTGGTAAACAATTTTTTAAATGTTTGTTTTATTAAGATGTTGAAAGACGGACACAGCTGGAAGAGATTGAACAACAAATCAAAGGTAACTTTGTCAATCTAGCTATGTGTTTCTTTAGAAAAGTCTTACCTTTCTTGGTTAATTAACATATATCTAAAGAGTTTTGGTTGGTGTATATTTACCGTTGGATCTCCTAGCTGCGGCTGCTACAAGAACTGGCGCAGAAGAAGGAATCACAAAGAGTAAGAGTCAGAAGGGAACACATGAGATCAAATCTGAAGGTACAAGTTAAGATAAATACATATTAACATCTTTTATAAGCTAGATGATCTCTCTTACACAACAACTCTGGTTATCCCTTATTTATATTTTATGCCTTGCACAGCTGGAAATGAATTAGAAACCACAAGGAAAACGCATAAAACTAAAAGCGAATACAAAGGTATACACACTTGTATTCAGATACAGTTTGGTTGCAAGTCCATAAACCTGAACTTATATAAATTAATTTCTCTCAGCTGCATCAACTGAAAGTGGTCAAAAGTGTAGCACTTGTGGTGGTTTGAAGAAAGGCAGTGGTGGCTCCTGGATGTTGGGTTCTCTTGGAATTGCACAGTCAGGTTATCTGCGCTTTTATTTTGACACCATGTGTAATGTATGCTGTGCAAAGTAACATCAAGCTACCCACTTGTTGGTAGTTTAGGTCTAGTGCCGAATTATCTTAGTGCGTGTATAGACTCTATCAATGATTATTATATTTTGGTTTCAAAAGAAACAAAAAAAAACAATAACATCAAGAAACCTTTGCTCTTAACTACCACAATATATACTTATTTTCAAAAACAAAAAGTACTTAAAACCTTTTAATGTGTGTGTGTGTGTAGGTGTGTGGCGCTGTTTTGACCAAGGAAAAAATGGTATTAAGGTAGAGGAGGATGCTTCCATCGTAATACCAAAGTATGACATAGATACCATCATCAAGGAAGAATCCGCTTCCCAGGTTTCTTTCAAGACTTTTAACATTTTCCATGCCATTCGAAAAATAAAGCCTCTTTGATCAACACATCTCTTAACTATGGAATGTAGGACTCTGCGTCAAAGACCTCTAGCCTCATAGCATCGTTGACCCAAATCGTTGAAAAGCACAGGAAAGAACTATGGTCTTCAAGTGTAAACATTGGAAAATCAAAGGAAACATCAGAGACGGTAGAGAAGCTGAAAGTAACCCTAAAACAGTACCGTGGCATAAGTGTAAGCTCAAGGATTTGGAGCTTGACATGTTGGTGCAATGACACAGAGAGAGTGTTAGTTGACAAGATTATTCGGAGTGTGGCTCATACATATGCAAGGATGTTTGAGTCTAGAGTGTTGCGGTTGTGTTACACATGGGCGTTAGTGTGTTACACAAGGCACGTAGAATGAAGAACTAAAGCGTGATGACGTGGAGAGTTTTCATTGGCTGATCTTGTTTGGACGTGATTCACAAACTAGAAGATCCTCAGATCACAAATTGGAAGATTTGGTGATGCTGATTTTAAGGAAAATATATATTGCACAATTGGAAAGATTTGGTGTCAGAGCGGGTCACCTCGTTGAATTATTCATTCATATACAGGTTGAGGTCCTGCGAAAAAAGTCTTTGAAACCATGAAAGAATTCATCACCCTACCGAGTCCTTATATGTTGGATGAAGGGAGTTTCGGCCATTGGAAGACACGTATGCAACATATCATACGAGGAATAGATGAAGACGCCTGGACTGCTGTTGAGATAGGCTGGTCGTCACCTACTGTGCTCATGGAAGATGAAACCTATGCTCCCAAACCGNGCGAATGGAAGACGATGAATCCATTGTTAGCTTTGTGTCTAAGATCAGTTCAATCGCCAACGAAGCTACTGTCCTTGGAAAGAAGTATAAAGAAAAGAAGCTCGTTAAGAAGTTGCTAAGGTGCTTACCTCCACGATTTGAAGCTTACAAGGCAGTCCTTCAGATAGCCATGAACACTGATGATATGAAGTTCGATCAACTGGCTGGGATATTGAAAGTACATGATCTGGAAGAAGCTGATGAGTTATTAAAAGATTCAGAGGGAATAGTGTTTTCGGTTCAGTCTAAAGAAGAAGATCATGTTAAAAGGTTAGAAGACAATCTGAGTCTTATGGCTAAAAACTTCAACCAGATGCTCAAACGTGTTGAAAAAGGTGTGAGCAGGTCAGGTAATCAATTCTCCATGAATGATTCAGAGCGCTTCAGCAATCAAGGGTATAGGTCTGCAACATCTAAAGGAGAGAGGGAGAAAAATTTACAGTGCCAAGAGTGTGAAGGCTATGGTCATTATCACAAGGAATGCCCTCTAACAAAGAGAAAAGAGCTTAGGTGTACTGAATACAATGGTATCAGACGTACAAGAAGTGAGTGTCTAAGTAATCTGAAGAAGGAAAAAACACTTGCATGCCTCAGTGACATGGAATCTGATAGTGACAGTGATGAAGGTGAGCCGCATCTAAACTTCATGGCATTGATCGGTCAAGAAAGTGGAAAAGATACTGATGTTGACAGCGAGGATGACAGTGATCTTGATCTTGAAGCTGAGTACAAGACCCTCTTCAATCAGTTCTCTGATCTCAGTTATGAGAACCTTGCACTTCTCAAAGAGACTGCAATGCTGAGAGCTCAGGTTAACATACTGGAACTTGATCAGCCTTCTATCAAGACGAAGGAGTACTCAATTGACCGAGAATCAGATCAAGAAGTTCTTGCACTTAAGAGAGCTATGA